AACTCATGTCTCTATTAAAAGCAGGAAAATAAAAGGTAGCCTTTTATCAAGTGTTTCAAGAAAAATGGGAAAAATCCTCTTGGATAAGCAAAGAAATTTCCTTAGTGCATTACGTGCCAGCAAAATGAGCCTGTCTAAAGAATACAAGTAGTGGTACTGCTCTTCTTATCCCTCCCTCACTTATTCACACAGTGAACTTTAGGGCATTTGAGTTCTCGATCTCCGCTAGAATGTACAATCCCTGACAGCAGAGACTTTTTGTCTTTTTGGTTTACTGATGTATCCTAAACCCACAGAACAGTGCTCGGTTCTTAATAGACATTTGATCAATATTTGTTAAATGAAGGAATGGATGTAAACCATCTGAGAGAGAGAAAATCTTCGTGGCTAGAAATCTTCAAGAAGGGAAGAAAAGTGTTGCCATCTCCAATAGGATGGCATAACTAGGTGACTGTCTATGTCTTTTTATAAATATCTTTATGGTGTAGATGCCTTATAACTCCTAAGGGCAAAGGAAAATGGTTACTGAGGACAGAAGTTCTTGTCTACATCTCCAGAGCTTAGAGGGACCTTGGATGCAATTGTTTCCCCTCGTTATCAAGAAAGGAGTTCTTTGGAGAACATCTGAGGAAGCAACCAGAGGCACAGGTTAGAAAGGACTCTTTGTTGCCATGTGACCTGGTTTCTCTTCTGCCTACCACTAATATTGCCACAACACGGGGGATTCTTCCTGCAACCTTGCAGAAGCCAGCCAAGCCCTCCCACTTGCTCTGTGGCTGCCAAGGAAAAAGGTGCAGAGACCTTATTTTGAGCAGAAACCAGTCGCATTTTTTTTTGAAGACCAAGATCGTCATGGCCATAGTTCAGTGGAATGCTACCTAAACTCCATGGGTTTTGAGCAAAAACTCAGGACAGTTACACACTAAGTTTGAATTTGCCTACAGGGGAGAGCTTTTATATAAATGTATTCCAAACCGTCCTTCCCTCTACATGGGAGATCTGCTGGCTCTAGGGAATCTGGCTGGAATACCAAAAGCTGCTATAAAATGTATAGTTTGTTGCCCCTTCTGATTATGTCTGGTTACTGCCATATGGTCTTTATGAATTCACAGTTATTCTTAGAAAATATCCTTAGGGGTGTGGTAAAAAGGCACAGGACAGAGAAATATAGGCAAATGAGAGTTTGGTTTTCAACCACAGATTCAACAGTCTGGCCCTAAATAATACTTCTGGCCTTACAACTAAACGCCTAGGAGTGGAGACAAGAAAACAACAGAAAAATGTAGCCAGATCTGTCATTATTACTCCTGGTAGCAAGAGTAAGACGCCTGTATTAGTTTCCTAGGGCTGCTATAACGAAGTGTCACAAACTGGATGACTTGGAACAAGAGAATTCCATTGTCCCACCATTCTGGAGGCTAGAAGTCTAAAATGAAGGTGTTAGCAGGACCATGCTCCCTCTAAAACCTATAGGGGAGGCTTCGATTCTTCTTAGCTTTTGGTGATTTGCCAGAAGTCTTTGGCATCCCTTGGCTTGTAGATACATCACTAGAATTCTTTGTCTTCACATCGCCTTCTCTCTGGGTGTCTTCTCATTGTCTCCCCTCTGTGACTGTCTATGTGTCCACATTTCTCCTTATGACAATATCAGTCATATTGGATTAAGGCCCATCCTGACCTTATTTTAACTTGATCATCTTCAAAGACCTTATTTCCAAATAAGGTCACATTCTGAGATACTGGGGGTTAGGACTTAGACAGATCTTTTTTTGGGGGGTGGGGCATAATTCAACCCATAACCTCCTAATGCAGTCGTATTATTCTTTGAACTTAAGCTTTCCAGATACAACTTGTTGTTCTTCCTGTGGAATATTACATTGATTAAATTGCCTCTTTAGTTTTTCAGCTATCAGATGCTTTTCCCTGGCAGGCTGATATAATTAAGGAACGAATAACTGAATCAATAAGGAAAAGAACGTGCTCTTTCATATTTTCCAGCTGTTCCGATGATTCATTTAGGGCGCTGCGTGTGCATGTCACTACTGAGTGCGTGCTTGTTAAGAGAGATGAGACCATGACATATAGTGGAAGAAGGGAGAGAAGGGGGTCTGGATTGTTCTTTGGTAAAAGTCCAAGAATGACATCCTTGAAGGGAGGGGACATCGTAAGGCAGTATATGGAGGAGAACACCGTCTCATGTGTAACTTTGTGTAAACAAGAAATGTTTTAAACATGTTTATTGTTTGGAAAATACATTTTATTTTAATGTTGCATGAAACACTTTGGGTTGAAGCCATGCAGGACTATGTAAACACTGCGTGAGCTAATACATTTTCTGTCCAAGGAAGGATTCATTCACCGCTATCCATGATAATAACCTCTGTGAAATACCATTTTATGGAAAGTCCCATGTTGCTTTGTCTAATTCCAGTTCCCCAGTGGAAAAATTGCAAGTTTAATTCTTGGTCTTTTAAAGGATAGATAAATATAACATGTACATTATAAAAAGAAAATTATTGTTACATAAATTTAAATAGAATAAACCATAGGCTACTATTACTATTGAAGTATAATATATATCTATTGTAAAGAAATCTAAAAATAATGGGAAGCTTTAAAAAGTATATAAATTACCCATCATTCCACAATTCAGAGATAACCACTACTAATGTTTTGACATATTCTCTTATAATGTATTTCAAGTTATGCAATACTTTAAATAAAATTAGCATCAATATGTGCATGGTTTGTAACATATTTTTAAATAAATAATATATAATGAACATTTTCATACCATTAAACAATCTTCTAGCACTTTCTGTTGAGTGATTTCCTATGTGCTTTGTTTCTATTTCAGTGTCAGAGCTTTCATTTTTTAAATTACTAAAGTAATACATGTTCACAATAATTTTTTAAAAATCCCAAAAACTGAAAGAAGAAAATATCCATTGCCCACAATCTTACCATTGCAGAGATAAACAGTATTAATATTCTGACATATAATGCATGGCAGTGTAACTGTCTGGATTTCTATCTTTTACTATCCATGGTATTTTTAACCTTTGTAATCCCTGCACTTAGTTCAGTGCTTAAAGCATAGTAGTTGTTTGATGTACTTTTAGTGAATGAATGGATGGATGGATGGAGAGGCTGCAAAGATTCAGCTTGTGGGAGAATACAATTCATTTCGGACTCAGCAACTTACTGTAGGTTGAGAGACAAGGTAGCTAACCCAAGGCCCTTAATGAAGAGGAGCCTACTCTTTCTGTTCATCTGAACCAGCCTCCAGGCAGAGAATTCAATCTGATTTTTCTCTCATCAGTCAAACTGAAAAGCTGAAAAAGCAAAACCAGAGACAGGGAGGCAGGAAGTGGAACAGGCTTGGATGCGTAGATCGGCACTGAGCTCTAGTTGTTTCTGTTGGGAAGAGCATGGGATGAGAGGAGCCGTGCTTCTCCCAGCAGTACGCCCGAGCAGGAGCTGTGGTGGGTGGCGTTCTGCCACGACAAGCAGCCTCCAGGATGGAGCGTCTGATGATTTCCCTGGCGGATTCAGGGGTCGGTGTGACCCTCAAGGTTTTTGCCTGACCTGTTGCTAGAGTTTGCAGCAGAGGAAGACACAGTCTTCCTCTCCTGGTTTTATTTGAAGGAATTTGGGGTTCTGTTTGCTCAGATTGGAAGCAGGGCCGACAGAGAGTCTGATTGATATCTTTGGGTTATAGAAGGCACCAACCAAAGTCTCTCCTATATTTAATTGAGAAACATCTGTCTTAAGTCTCAGCATATGCCATGGGAAAGAAAGTGATCTATTTCTTAAAACCCCGCATGGAATACTCAGTTCTTGCAATAAATTATGTGGATAAATTCTTCCCATATGGGATGGTCTGGTCTTCACAAACCCTCTCCTTTCTCCCAAGCCCCTCTCCAATATAAATGTACATACAGAGAGATATAAAAACATCTGCAAATAGATAGATGGATGGATGAATAGGGAGACAGACAGACAGACAGCCTCCACCTGCTTTTGGCCAGCAACTGTTATCACATCCCTCCTTTCTCTTAGAAGCGCCCCCAGAGCCAAGCTCAAGACCTTAGCCATATTAACACCTTTCTCCACATTGTCTCTTCCACCCAGGAAAATCTCAATCCACCTTCTCTCTGGTCCACACCACCTATTTCCAAAGGCCTAGCTCAAAATATATTTCTTCAAGAAGCCTCACTGTTCCATTTTTACCCCAGTTTATCTTTCCCATCTCTCACCTCCTGGAGCCTTAGCCCTTGCCCCATTTTCCCGTTTGATGTGGTGGACCTGTATGTATATTTGAGGGTCAGAGTAGTTTTGCCTATTTTTCCCATGTGCAGAGTTGGACACACATAGTAGTTGGTACTTACTCATGGAGTGAGAGCCTGGTCTGAATAAATACTGTGAGAGTTGGTGGAGTTGATGTGTTGTAGTATAAACCTGGCATCTGCTAAATCAGCATAGACATCCTGGTTTTCCATACGGCTGCTATAGTCACTTTGTAGAACTGAGCATTGATGTCTTCATCTATAAAGTAGAAATGCTAATATATCTCTTTAACTACCTTTTAGATTATTTTGAGTTATATGTATGTGTGTGTGTGTGTGTGTGTGTGTATATACATATATATATATATATATATATATATATATATATATATATATATATACGCCCGCACACAAACATATCTGTTATTTACTGGACAAAAAAGAGACTTTAAAAAACGTAGTTCACTCATGGTGCCAATGTTCAGTAATATTTCCTGAATGAAACTGATGTATTGGATGTATATTGAATTAGAAGACCCCATGATAAGCATAGCACAGTCATATTCATGTATTTGGATAGAATGGATGCCTACTTGAGTGCATTAGGCGCTCTGATGGATTGGAATGTTCATCTCCAGAAGGGTGACACGTGTATTTCGGTTGAACAGCGTCCCTTGATACTTATGCTCTCCTCACTTCCTTGTTTTGCAGCTCTACAGCTCCATGGACTTCGGGAGACGGTGGCAACTCATGCATGAACGCATCACACCCAACAGGTTTTACTGGTAAGCCCCATCCTCAGTCTCACCACCCTCTTGGATAAGGAATTATCAGACAACATAGCACTCGGGACAATTCCTGGACACCTTCAGCACTTGAAGTCATGTGTGTCCTAGCCCTTTGCTACTCAGAGTTTGGTTCGCAGACCAGCAGCATCTGCATCACCTGGGAACTTGTTAGAAGCGCACAATCTCAGGCCCCACTAAGACTTCCTGAGAAAGACTCTGCTTGTAGCATAATCCCTGGTGATTTATGGGCTGGAGAGCTCCATGAGGAGGTCATGATGGGGTGCTCTTAGCTGTGTACTAGTCTCCCTTCTTTTTGGAAAATAGTAGATATTTCGTGAACCTATTCTAAAAGCAGTATTCCGAAAACATAGTCTGAAGAACATTAGTTCCACACAGTGGTTCTCCTTCCAAAGGCATTTCTGTGGTCACATAATTTTAGGTAACGGTTATCTAACTCTGCCCTCCTGGAGACTCAGGATTCACGTTAGGATATTGAAGACTCTGGAGAAGCCCAGAGGGAGGGAAGCTGCCAAACACAAAGTTACTGATTCCCAAACTCATTTCACTCCAGAGTCCCTTTCTCACGTCACACCTGAATCCTTCAGAGCCACTTCTGTGGAGCACATTTTGAAAAACTTCTTTAAGAGTGAATATGTGTTTAAGATGAAGAATTAGCCCTTCCTCCAATCAGAAAATGTCATTCTTTTTTAATTGAAAAATACTTCATTAACTATATATTATGTTGTAAATTTTCGTTGGTATTATCAGGGAGAACAGATTTACTCTTGTACAAGGGGCAGGTGTTGTTACTAATTGGTATTTTTTAAATACATGCGTACTGTTGTTACCTCGGTTGTAGCAAAGTAAACTTGGTTTGGTATAATTTTACCTTTTACTCTTCCTTGCTCTATGAAATGCTTCTTAGTTGTACCTCGCTTTCATTTCGGCAGAAGTGATGGCCAGATATATGTAGGGAGCATACACCAAAGTGTATAATATGCTTAAGTATGTGCTTAATTAAAAGCAGAAAAAAATTAACAGTATTTGAAAGTAGTACCTCTTCCATGTCTCATTTTAAATACCTTAGTCAGTCCCTTAAGAAGTCACAAGATGGCCATTTATGCCTTCCACAAGGCGGGGGTGGTGTGTGTGTGGGTGGTGGTCATGTAGGCATATGTATCCCTGTATGTCTATACAACCATACCAACATCTCTGGAAGCAGCGTTTTCACCCAGTCCCCTCTGCACCTATAGAACTTTGTCCAGAATTAAAATGATGATTGCGGAAGCACACTGTGAAAATCAACCGTGTCGTATTATACACAAAGTACTGGGAGAAAAAAGGGAATTGGGATCACTGCTTTTGACTCAATACCTTGGCTATGCCCAGTTATTTTCCCCTTTTCAGACCAACTATTATTTGGTCTGTAACTAGTATTACAATGATTATTTGGTCGTATTTAGAATTGTATTAAGATTTTCTTTCAATAGACTAAGGCGGAAAAAGGAAGTATTTGTTTTTCTGATGTTCTAGCTATATGACTACTGCCTTTTTGCTTTTTGCCAGTTTCTCAGTGCGCCAACACTCAGAAGTCCCTCAAAAAGAAAAAAGTAGCCCTCTGCTATTTCTGGAACAAACTCTTGAGATGGTAAGGCAGTTAGCCGACTAGGAAGTCACGTTGACGGAGAAGGAAAGTACAGTAGACTGGCTAAGACTTGTCATTGTTTCTGAAGGAAATTAAGTTAAGTGGATGAAGGGCAGCATTTTCCTTTGTTTTGCAAAGGGCAAGGAGAGAATGTTCCAGTTGCTGTCTGCCTTCCCCCTTCCTTTGTGTAGCAGAAAGAATAAATCCCCAGGTCCTGGCAATTGCATTTCACCTCTTCTCCACGCTGTGCTTCTTTCGTATATGCCCCCATGGGGAAATATAAAAGTTAGTGCCTGTGCTGGCTAGCCAAGTGGTAGCTGAAAATTCCATTTTTGTAGTATCACTTCTCCGTTTCTGATGTATAATTGCTGTGATCATTCTTTTAGGTGCCGTAGGAGTTGCAGAGGAAGAGCTCCTTTTACACAGACCTTTTTTTAATTTTCCCCAATGACAGAATTCATGGCTGTTGAAAGCGCTTATGTTGGAGAGACATGGCTTGTATGGGTTGGGAGTGGAAATATCGACAGGGCACCTCCTTGAGGAAAGACAGAGTGTGCATTTCTCAGGGTGTAGAGCACAGCTTTGGTTGAGAGAGCGCCTCTCCAAGCTCTGGTTTCCGCACCTGTGCAATGGGAACAATATTCTTCTTGTCAGTTTCATATGCTTCTTGAAAGGACCAGATAGAATCCTTTCGGAACTGGACTCTTGGCAATTTCGTTTCACCATTTCAGATTTTTAATTTGTAAGTTATGTGTTAAATACTGTGTTTACCAGTAGTTCTGAAGACTGTGACACATAAGTGATTTGTCATTTTTCTGGGACGCAAATTTGAATCCCATTGCCAGTGAGACTGTTTACCTGCGGACATCTGATAACAATCGAATGGGTCTAATTTACTGCCAAGAATCCACGTCTCAACCTAACTTTATTGTCCTCACTCTTTCTGGCGTCATAATTCTTCTGACATGGTAAAAACAAAACAGATCAACAACCCAAAGCCCTACAGCTGCTTCTTTGGGAGGGTTGCTGCAGGGTGAAGTGGTATTCGGGACGGTGGGGACGCACTGGGGACAGGGCAGTCATGCCAAAAACAAGACATTGAAATAAAAGACTCTTATCTTGCGATATGTAGACAAATAGAGTGAACATGCTAACCAGACAAAATATTGTCCAAATATTGTTATCTATAATTTGGAGATTTTCAAATGTCTAGGGATAGAGCCTTCACGAATGCTAGGTTTCTTCTCCCCTGTCGCCCTCAGTTGACGGAAAGTAGCAACCTAGAAGGGACTTGGGGGGAAGAACACTGTGATTCAGAAAAGATTTCTGCCAAGTGTGCTGGAGAAGAATCGACCATCTCCAGTGATGATCAGTGTAATGGCTGTGAAAATGCATTGGGAATCATAAGGGGCTATCATGATCCATTTCCTCCTTAGTGCCCCACAGTGCCTGTGGGTTAGACAGGGCATGGGGCATAATATTCATTAGCATCAATCATGAACGCTTCATCTAGAGATACAATTTTCTTTATGAATTCCAGATGTTCTAATGCCATCAAGAGAGGTCACCTAGGAATCTTACACCATGGAGTGACTGGGCCATCAAACTCATGCCCTGAGAATCAGGCTGACGTGAACACTCCTTTATATGCTACCTTTTCACTCATTTGATACCTGGTTAACAGGCAGATTACGCTCGCATTCATCACCCCAACTGTTTTAGCAATTTTAGTTTGCACGGAGAGTACAGGAGTGGCTAAGTAGCCTAACGTAATCTTTCTCTAGTCTCTGCTTGGGCAGAGCAATTGTAGGGAAAAAGTGGGGATTTTTGGTTTTGGTTTTTGTTTTAATATCCTACTGAGCTACAAATGAATAGTATTTCCACCCTTCCATTGGAAGATACTTAACAGGCAGGCCCATTCTGCTGTGGGAAGATTGTTTTCGCTGCACATCCAATATGAATACTTGTGACGGTTCACAGCTTTGCCTCTGCAGCCCCTCACCCTCCCTAGGTGTTCACCCTCTTCTGGCCTCTTTTTCATTGAGAGAACGGGCATCCTAGGCCTTGCTGAGTTCTCTGTGTAACTGGACTGGCCTCTAAGTGCCTCTGATCCCTGATCATTTGGTCGTACCTTATCTTGAAGGAGAGATAGAATGTGTCCTATGTCTCTTCCTTACTAACTTCCCCTTAATTGTTCTCTCTCCTGAAAGATCAGGGTCCATTTCTTCTTCCTTGCTGTCACTGCAGGAGAGTGTTCTGGTAAAGTAATACACACTAAGGTGCCAGGAACTTAAACTCTTACCTCTTTTCTGGAGTATTTGGGTTGCAGAATAGACTGGTTTTTAGATCTTAAAAACCTTATAAGAATCAACAGATGTAGAACAAGTTGTAGATAGCCCACTTTAGGGGGCTCATGGAGAGAGTCCCTTGTGGACAGCTCTTCTGAGCTGTTGTGATGCCTGGCTGCAGGCTGGAGTGGCTGGTGTGTAGGGACAGTCGGGATGGGCTCTATTGTCCTTTGATTAAGGTCGGCTTACTCACTGTAGATTTCTAGCGATGGCTCTGCCAGCAGCTTCTTTTCTCTTCTTTTAGAAAGGTCATGAGGGAGGGTAGGGAGAATGGAAAAGCAAAACGTGTCCTCCCTGGTGTGTATACATAGGAGATCCTAGGAAAATATCTTTTAAAGGAGAAAGGAAGGATATGGACTAAAAAACCCTTTCATTGCAATATTTCCTTTCCAATCTTCCATTGTTCTTGTTTTTCCCAGTCTCTTTTTGTGTGCCTATGCTCTTTAATGTGTAGCCTAAACATATTGCCTGTGAATTTGTATAATCTCCCTTCTCCCCTCTTCATATGCTATTGTAACAATTTTTATGTTATTATAAAATCTTTATAGCCATCATTTTAATTGTCTATGCAACTCTTCGTTATGTAAAGATACATACTGTATTACTCTATTTTTATTGGACATTGGAAATGTTCATATTTTTCACTATCATAAATAACAGTTTGGTTAATATTTTATGTATATTTCCTTAATATCTAGGATTGTTTTCTCGGACCAGTGTCCTGGGTAGCCCAAATAAAAATTTATGTTTTCCCCAGTCTCAACAGAGTGTCACGTTCAAGTGGTATGACCCAAATTCAACACTGAAAGCATTTTAGAGCAATGTAGGTTTTTACTAAACATTTTCTTGAAGGGGGTTGCAAAGAAGCATTATATCACACACCACACAGTGAGTCTTTCTAAAACTATCCTTTGCCCATATCTGTCTCTCCAAGATCTTGATCGTCATGGTAGTTACCTTGTCAACTTTTCCTTCTCTTTCCATGGGTTCTAAAACTATCCTCA